CTTAAACTATCCTATACCAAGCACTTTCTTTCTATAAATGTGAAAAATACACACATGAATACCATATTTGAATGTAAACCTCATAGACCAGCAGACCATGCTGAGATCACAGTGGCATATCCAGTTGGACGGACCTTTTCCAATAGTTTCCATTTTTATCAAAAGTGAAATCAAAGCTATTTTCAACGCAAAAGCAAATTCTAAACAACACCCACTAGAATTAGCAAAGCAACATTTCATCAGAAAATCACCTGCAGAATTTAGAATGCAATTTAGAATTACTAATTGGTGTGTTAAATGGATATATTCAGAAAGTGCCGAGGGGATGAGTCAACACTTCTGAAAGAACTTTAATTTCAGAATTTCCTGAGTGAGTGCTCCAAATTATAAGCCTACTGACACATTAGTACATGGGTTAGAGGAGTCGGCTCACCCAGACATTTGTTGTGTGCATAATTTAAAAAAGAATAAATACTACTTTGGAAATTGCTCTGGTTCGTTTTGCCAAAAGGAACACCCTTTCTGGGCACATAGCCACTAGAGATTTGCCCGGCTTTCTTTGTGTCTATGGAACCCTGAAACATTGTTTGCAATTTTATCAAAGGATTCATTGAGTCAGAGGATAATCAGGGAGAACATATTGTCCATTAAAATGTGGAAAGGTGGGCATGCGAGTCCTTAGAAGAACGTTAGCTTTTATCTTAGTACATTGTTTATCTTTTCGTTATTCATTTAAACTGGAATCCTGTCATTTCACCATCTCTACTGCCATCCAACTATCATTTCTTATCAACTCTTATCAACTGGGCTATTGCAAGAGTCCTATAAGCGGTCTCCTGGTCTTCACCCTTGCTCCATGTAGCTCAGGTCCCATCCCGCAGACAAGATGAGCTTTCTATAGCTGCGTAGAGAGTTAAGGCTCTGCAGGTAGGAGAGGCAGTCCCACACCCAGAGCAGGTGTCTACCTCGTGAGGACAAACCGCCAGCCCTTCCGAGATGAGAAGGGCCAACAGAGTCAACTCACTGCTACAAGGCCTGCTGGTCTCCCCGAGGAACAGTGCCAAGCCAGGGGCTCAGTTGGTGTCTGTTGTGGGCAACTGCACCATCAAAGGAAGCAGCAGTGAATTGGGCCTCGGTAAGTGGGAGTGCTGGACTCATCTGTAGCCTCTGTCTTTGCTGCCATTTCCACTCTCATTATGGGCCTGTCTGGGTGGCTGAGGACAAAGCCAGTGAATGTCAACCAGCCAAGTCGCTTTGTCTATGTTAGTTATTCCTCACCCCTTCCACGGTGGGTGGATGGATACTTTTTGCGCATTGGGACGTGATACAAACATCACACTGTGTGCCCACTCCCATTGCCCACTACATGCCTCTCCCCCAGAACTCCTTGTCCCAGTCATCCTGTCCTCTTCCTTCCAGGCCACTGTCCAGTCATCTGCATGTATTGTCACCTCAGGCAATTTCAGGTGCACTGCTCAAAGCTCTGCCCATTGGGACAATGTTTTCTTTCCAACTGTCTTTGAGTCACCCATGAATATGGCTGTCATGCAGCCCTGTCCATTTTTAGCTTGCATCTGTATACTGAGCCAACCCATCTCTAAACCAACCTTGAGCTTTTTGACTTTTTCTTCCTTCTTAAGCTGGGCATATAGATATACTTGCCATGATGTTACAGTATCCTGTAGTGGGACCTGGCCACCTCTTAAGTCAAAGGGCTCCTGGTCTGAAAATTGGCTCAGTTTTGTGGACTGAGCACCAAATAGTGACTTTTCACTGGGGCAACTGCTTTCAGACTTTGAACCCTGTATTCTACTTTTTTCTTCTTTTTAAATGGTAGATACCAAACAGCACCTCAGTTGGCTGCTGTCTAGGGCAGTGGTCAGCAAACAACAGCCAGATCTACCCACCATCGGTTTTTGTAAATAAAGTTTTATTGGAACACAGCCATGCTTAGGCTCTTTGTTCTTCACCTTACCATCTGCTAGGGAAGCTCGGGCATTTCTGTTTTGCTGAGAGTTGCCCGTCATCTATCTTTTCCAGGCTTTTAAGAGCCACCCCCGTCAATGAGTTTGTCCTCTCCTCTGGGTCTTCGCTAGGGCGACACATCCCACACCCTGAGAAAGTGCCCCCAACTTGATGAATTCTTGCTTACGCAGTTACATTCCAGCGTCCTTGCTCAAGCACCCTCAAGATCTAATCCCAGAAGTGCTTCCTTGGCTCTGCCAGCACATGCCAGGTAGTCGTCTTACTTCTTTCTATGTATAGTCTCTTTCTTGCCTTATCAGGCCCACCCTGACTACATCTGGGTTACCCTGGGATTTAATTCTAATTATCAGTCTGGCAGCAGGAGTGGAGATGGCAGCAGCTCCCGAGGGGGCAGGAAGTGCCTGTGTCTTTGTGGGGGGGAAAAGGATTCTGCAGCATCTCTCAGCATGGCCAAAGCCCTAGCTCTTACTGGGGAAAGGTGGGTGCCCTGCATGCCCAGAGCATGAGGGTGGGAGTATTGTAGTGTCAACATCATCAATGACTCATAACCAGGCTTCCTTGCCTGAAGGAGTGTTTGATGTCTCCAGAGCTCTGAGATCCTCATAATTAGGTCTTAAGCTTACCTTTTGATTGTGCCTGCCCTTGAGCTACAGGTGATAAGATTTTTATATGCTACCACCATTACCACTAGGGGCTCTATGGTTCTCACACTTAGCAATTAAGGGCATATTAACAGCTCTCAGGTCCTCATTTCCCTTAGCAGGGAGTCAATGCACTTTGCCTTAGCTGGCCAGTTCTGCTATATTTATAAGAACCGTTCTTCCCATATTTCCAAATGTTTATATCATCACACCCATCACAGCATTTGCCTCCACCAGGACATTTTCAAGGGTCAGCACCAGTGAAATATTAGCAATTGGTCTGCATCTTATGCCAGGGGCCAAGGCGGGGCATGTGCTACCTATCTGCGGAGTAGGTGAGCTAATTTTATGGCTTCATCTTGCTCTCCGTTTCTTCAAATCACTCTTGGTACCACTTGTGTTAATCCAGATCCTCTGAGAAGCAGATACCAAGACAGGATTAAATATGCAAGGATTCTATTAAGGAAGGTGCTTGTGAGAAGAAAAGTGGGAGAGAGCCGGAAAAGCATGGGAAAGATGTCAGGCGGTGAGACAAGTGTGAACCCAAGTGAAGGGGGTGGGGAATGTTGGGTGGAACCCCGTCCTAGGCTGTCGTGCAATCTAAGGAAGTTTCAACAAAGCCGGCAGGGGTTCCTTGAGCTTAAGTTGGCCAGAAGAGGAGTTTCCATGTCTCCCAGAAATGAGTCTGCTGCGTCATCCCCACCACACTCCGTCCTTGACTGGGAAGCAGACTGTAGGAGGCGTAGCCCAGGCCAACATGAAGCAATGGATTTCGAAGTATGTCATCTAGGGCCCTGGGTCAAAATTGCACTCCCTATAAAGTGGGAGGTCTGCAAGGCACAATGTTATGGCTGCTATGTAGATTCAATGTAAGTTCAATCAGAATCTTATGTTTTTTTTTTTTTTTTAAGAAATTGACTAGCCAAAGTTCATGTAGGGTGACAAAAACAAACAAACAAAAAAACCCAAAAAACAAAAAAAAAGAAATTGACAAGCTGATTGTAAAATGCATATAGAAATGTAAAGAACCTAGAATGCCTACAATAATTTGGAAAAATAACAAAGTTGGAGGACTTATACAACCTAATTTCAAGACTTACTGTAAAGCTACAGCAATCACATATACAGTCACATGTTGCTTAATGATTGGGATACATTCTGAGACCTGCACCATTAGGTGATTTCATTATTGTCCAAACATTGTAGAGTGTACTTACACGAACGTAGATGATATAGCCTCCTACATACCTAGGCTATGTGACATAGCCTACTGCTCCTAGGCTACAAACCTGTGTAGCACGTTACTGTACTGAATACTGTAGGCAATTGGAACACAATGGTAAGTATTTGTGTATCTAAACATATCTGAACATAGAAAAAGTACAGTAAAAACAGTATTATAATCTTATGGGACCACCATCAAATATGCAATCTGTTGTCAACCAAAACGCCATTAGGCAGTACATGACTGTATACATAAGTTAATGAAATCAATCTAACAGTATAGAGTCCAGAAATAGACCCATGCATATATGGTCTATTGGTTTTTAAAAAGGTGCAAACATCACTCAAGGGGCAAAGCATATTCCTTTCAACAAATGATGCTGGAACAATTGGATATTGATGTGCAAAAATGAAACTTTGATTCTTACATCACACTACTTACAAAAAATGACTAAAACTAGATCATAGATCTAAATGAAAAATCAAAAACTGTAAAATTTCTGGAAGAGAATATGAGATCATCTTTGTAA